CTCCCAGCCAGCAATTCCTTCCCAATCTCCCATCTCTCCCTGCCCTCTGGCAGTGGGAAGCCATTCCCTGTGTCCTGTCCCTCCATCCCTTGTCCCCAGTCCCTCTCCAGCTCTCCTGGAGCCCCTTTAGGCCCTGCAAGGGGCTCTCAGGTCTCCCTGGATCCTTCTCTTCTCCAGGTGAACCCCCCCCCCAGCTCTCCCAGCCTGTCACATAATCAGCTTATCTGTTCAACCTCAGTAGCTTTTACACCTGGAAATTAATAATTTATAAGATATAAACCTTTCCCAGCACAAGCACAGGCAGAGCCCTCAGTGGGTTCCACCCATGGCCACGACAGTGCAGGAAGAGCAAAGATCACTCCGTGGGAACCTCCACTCTGCAGGCCCAATGTCCTGCTGGGACACAGCAAGTGTCTGCACTCTGCATGAGGAGCACCAGCTGGCTGGTGATCAGACGCTCTGATGTGCACCAGGTTCATTGCTTTCATTGAACTCCAGTTCACAGAACCATCAGTAGCTCCTCATTCAACATCTGACCTTCTGTGCACTCATTTACAGCACCAGTGTCGCTGCTGAAATTACAGCACAGGCTGCACTGCAAAGGATTCTGTGCAAACCCCAGAATTCATACCCTAACAAGAACCACCTTCTGACACAATCTTCATGCAAAAATTGGACAGATTTTCATTCCTAATCACAGAACTCGGGGTCAGACTCAGCTTGTGCAGAACAATCATCACCAGGATGCAGCAAACAGCTCCTCATTCCACTGCTCTGCTGCCAAGGACATTTGGAATAATATGGTGCCCTTAAATTGGTTTGGTTTAAGGTCTGGCCGGATCCAGAGCAGGGCAGTAAATGGATTAAACCCTGACTAAATATTTATCAGATTCTATAGAGACCAGCCCCGAGTTTGTTTCTAATGACAAGGGCCCAGCACCATCCCAGGGCTCAGGGGCTGACAAATCCTTCCCCTGCAGATCTTTCCCTGCTCCTTTCTCTCACCTTTCCTCCAGAATGCAAAGTCAACTTGATTATTTTTGCATTTCTGAGGCACAGAAACCGAGCATGTGCGGTTCTCCCATCAAATATGCTTACAATTAACACACAAACCACCTCTCCACGAAAACAGCCCAGTGTCAGAAGAAGGAAATCTCCCTGTAATAAATCTGGATTTGTTTAGCATTGCACTCCCATCCTGGCTCACACAACCTCATGCTGTGCTATAAAACTCAGCCCCAAATGGAGAGGAGAACTGAGGTCTGTGCCATCAGCCACGCCGTGGGTCCGGGTGGGGATCCCACCAGTGTGGGGCCCAGCTGGACACCAAGTGGGGAAGGGTGGGAGGGAAGCAGGTGTCAGAAACAGCGAAGTCCCCAATGGCTTTGCTCTGTCCTGGGCAAATAAATAAATCCAAATGCCTGGACAAACCGTGGCATTACTGCAGTCCTGTCATTCCAGAGGGATGGGACACCCAGAAGGGGCTTTTGGAGGCCCCCATTCCCCAGGGCTCTGAAGAAAGGCAGATTATTGCTGCTCAGGCACAGTCACCTCCCAGGCCCAGCCCAAAGCATAATTAGAGGCCTCTTAATTGATCACTAGCTGGGGGGAGCCCAAGGCTGGTAAAGGGTACATCAGTGCAGAAGGTGTCAGCGCAGACCATAATACTCCCACTCATTTGCTCCACTGAGGTGCCAGAGACTTATTTTATCTGAAAGGAATGAGCAGAAGGGACACAGGAATTCTCAGTGCTAAAAACCAGGGAGCTTCTGTTTTTAAGGACTGGAAAAGCTTTAGAAAAGCTTCTATTAACAGCAGAAATGACAGATTAATCAGGTATGTTCCAGATATATTCCCTGTGTGTCCATCCAGCTCCAAGGGATCCTTTAGGAAACAGAGGCCAGGCTTTTATCAGATTATCACAATGAATTATTTAAAATAAGCAGAATAACTAAGAACAGGAAAACTCTTCCAAAACACAACATACAGACACAGACAGACACTTCCACGTGGGCTCCCCATCCCTGCAAGTGTCCCAGGCCAGGCTGGATGGGGTTTGGAGCACCCTGGGCCGGTGGAAGGTGTCCCTGCCCATGGCAGGGGTGCCACTGGATCGGCTTTAATGCCCCTTCCAACCCAAACCCTCCTGGGATTGGGATTCTGTGATTTCTTGGATCAGAAAATTAATTCAGGAGTTTTACAAGTTGCTCCAACTCAGAACAACAACTTTCCTTCCTTAAGGACTCCTGTACCTCCCCTTCTCTCCCTCTAACAACCAAATGCCATCTACAACCCCCAAACCCATCTATCTCAGCAGTAAATGCTGATGGAGAAGCAGTTTTATGCAGCTCATATCTCTCTGACATTTTTGGCTTATTAGTCCAGAACTGCCCCTCTCAAGTACTCCTGGATCTATACACAGATTGTGACTTCAACAGTTACTTCTCTTAATTCAGAGTTGATTCAAAAAAGAGACAGAGAGAAGGGAATGCTAAAATGCTGCTTTATGATTTACAAAGGCAGCTTGAGAAAGTTTTAGTTCAGCTTCATTAACAAAAATGTGCAAGTTCAGGTCTTGTCTCTATGACAACTCCAGAGGGAGTGGAATGATTCCCTTCCTCTCAAGAGCCTGGAAAACTGAATAATTCAGAGAGGAAGAGATCCTCAGTCAGACTATTTACAACTGTTCAGTGCTGTGAACACCCCTGTAAAGGCAATGTCTCTGAAGATTTTTGGAGAAAGGATGTCTTGTTTATACAGAACTTCTTTCCTTGTT